ATAATAATAATAATAATAATAATAATATAGAAGCCCAGGGGGCTTGGGACTTCTGTATGTGACATTTGTATCACATCAGCATTTACTGACACAAAATGATGACCCAACAATGAAAAGAAGCATGATGCACCTACTGAGAATACACAGATCTACTCTTCATCTTCTGCGGGGATGCCCAGCTCTTCATCTGTCCACTCATCAGGGTCAGGATAGGGAAAGTGACCCTAAAACAAACACAAATATTACTAAAGTAAGCAGCATATCACGGGTTATTCAACACCGTTATCCAATCTTCTAATGGGGATGTAAAAATGCACATTTTAGGCCTGAAGATTGTGTAACACCCCCCATATTATTTTCTGGAAGCAGAGACTATATAGAATAAAAAAGCTGCAGTTGCCATCTTTTATGTCACACGGTATTTATGTTAATATATAGATCTGATAAACAGTGACAGTAGAAAATAAATACACCCAAATTAATTTTAGTGCACACAAACACAATTGAAATCTCTGTTTCTTGTAAAATATAAAAAGATGAGAATGCACGGAGTGAATAAATACCAACTAAGAACAACTTCAGGTAATAAAACATTTGTTTTAACTCTTGCAGTGGGGCTACCACTGCACTGCAAGGGTTAATTGCTTGTGTCTAGGTTTAAAAAAAAAAGAGTTATAGTCAGCCTTAACTTGGAGGCCGCCGTGGCATGTTCCCTCCTCCGCTGCATCAATGTTATGTCCCACGGTGTCCTCACGTCCTACACACCTTGTACCAGGCCGCTGGAGTGGAGAGGGAAAAAGCCTCCAGGGGACCGGTCTAAGAACGAGCCGGCTCGGAGAATTGGACGACTAACTTTTTTTTACTTTTAGACCTAGACATAAACAAGTACTTAACTAGAGCTGCAGCTAATGATTATTTTCAAAATCGGTTAGCAGATTATTAAAGTTTGATGAATCGGTTAAAAAAATTAAATACATTTTAAAAAATGGCTCCAGTGATTGACTACTAGTTTGTATTGAGTGTAGTCCATCACAGGAGCAAGCTTGGAGCGGTGGAAGTAAAAAAAGAAAACAAAAAAGTGTGGTGTGAAATGAAGTGTAAAATTATACAGCAATGAATGCAGAATGGCATCGACTATAGAGGACTACAAAACCCAGCAATAGTACATTACACAGCGCAATGCAGAATACCACCAGCTATAGAGGACTACAAAACCCAGCAATAGTACATTATACAGCGCAATGCAGAATACCACCAGCTATAGAGGAATTCAACAAATCCCAGCAGTAGTACATTATAGATGGCGGTATTCTGCATTGCGCTGTATAATGTACTATTGCTGGGATTTGTTGCTCCTCTATAGCTGGTGGTATTCTGCATTGCGCTGTATAATGTATTATTGCTGGGATTTGTAGTCCTCTATAGCTGGTGGTATTCTGCATTGTGCTGTATAATGTACTATTGCTGGGATTTGTTGCTCCTCTATAGCTGGTGGTATTCTGCATTGCGCTGTATAATGTATTATTGCTGGGATTTGTAGTCCTCTATAGCTGTTGGTATTCTGCATTGTGCTGTATAATGTATTGCTGGGTTTTGTAGTCCTCTATAAATCGATGCCATTCTGCATTCAGAATACCACCAGCTATATAGGAATACAACAAATCCCAGCAACACATTTATACATACAGTGTATAATGTATTGTTGGGATGTGTATTCCTCTATAGCCGATGGTACAGGTTCATGCTCTGTATAATATACAGCACAATGTACCATCAGCTATAAAGGAATACAAATCCCAGCAATACATTATAGAGCACCATGTGGGGGGGAGTGCAGGCTTACCTGAGCAGTCTTCCAGCAACTTGTTTCTGAGATCGGGCCTGTCTATCGTCGGCTGTAATCCCCCCACACCTGCTTACTTCTTCTCCCCGCGTCCCTGTGCCGATTGTGGATTTGGGCGGGCGGTGAGCGTGAGGCAGGGAGCAGGTGCGGCGTGTGGAGGTTGGATACAGGCGTGCGGGTCTGGCAGCGGCGAGCGTGAGGTGGGGAGGGAGGTGCGGCGCGCAGTGTGTGTGGAGCCGTTAACAGGGCCAACCAATCGGAAGCCGATTAATCGATGATTGAAAAAGTTGACAACTTTTTCAATAATCGATTAGTCGTTGCAGCCCTATACTTAACCCTTGCAGTGCAGGGATAGTCCCACTGCAAGGGCTAAACATTTTGAGTTCTGCTTTAAAAGCCTTTACAGTCCATCAATTTATGTTAAATAACATTTGTTAGCAGTGAATGGCAGTCTCACCCTAGGGTGTGTGGTGATACCTAATATGTGTGGTGCAATCATTATTTTCATACACATGCGCACCCAGTACTTTGTATCTGTGGGTATGTGGGGGCAGGAAGGTTTAAAACGTTTTTTTAACTTACCTTTATTGCTATCACAAGGGTGCTGCTAAGCCCTCCATGCAACAGCACAGTGCAGGTGTGTCTCTTTTAGGAGACATCAGAGGTCTATTACACCCCTTATGTCACCCCTGCACTCCTTTGAAGATGATGGAGCACAGAGTGTACTTGATTAGATTCATCCCTGCCCAGAGTGGCTAAATTAGGATTGACAGCTCTGAACCTGGAAGTCCTCAAAACTAAACACTTCCAGGTTCGTTCTTCACAAGGAAGTTCAGCGAATGGATATTCTTGGGTTTAGATATCCTTTAAGGCTGCATTCAAATGGAGCATTCTGACATCCCTGTGGCAAGAACCTACGAATTTCAGGAATGCCACAAGTCCCCGTTCAAAATGCAGCAGCTGTACCCGCTCAAAAAAATGAGCGGATGACGGCGTCTGCATCTGTTAACGGCAGTCCGAATGTAATCGTACACGGAATGATTGCATGCAGTCTGAGATAGACGATTGTGCCTGAATGCAGGATAGGTGCGTCCAGCCACAATTATCTATCCCAAACCACATATAAATGTACTACGCACGATTATAATAGGACTGCCGCTGGCAGATGCGGCCGCTTTCAACCTGTCATTAACTTCAATGGGTACAGCGCCCACATCTGAACAGGTTAGAATGTAGATGCCTCAGGCTCAGTGTAGACATGATGAAGTAGACATATCTACTCTGAGCCTGATAAAGAGGACCCTGTGCGGCCCCTTGTTATTCTGAGTGACATCTATCAATAAATGGATTTGCACTGACTTATGAGCTTCTATCGTGCTGGTGACCTCTACATCCTAAGCCGTTTTGTGTGCGGCACCATCCGTCATTTCGAGCACCCATTTACTTTTTTGGGATTTCCAGTAAGGAGTGCTTCAGGATTTATGACTTTTGCACATCTGAACAGGGACACCCAGGGTTCTTGCTACAGGAATCCCAAAATGGGGCATGTTCCCAGCACTGGGGTTGCATTATAAGGCGCGTCTCTCTCTCTCTCCCAGAATTCCTGGTTTTGCTCCTCCCTATACTGCAGTTCTCCACCTGGTAACTCCAGTGCAATGCCACCAACAGAGTACAGAAAAGATACAAGACCCCAGTTTGGTGGCTGAACTATTCACCTTTTACTAAAAACTGAAATGCGAGTTTTGGGTAGACTGACTTTGCAGAGGAGAAAAACAGCGATCAAACAGGAGGGGGTCCTCGGACTAAGGGGTTCAGCTATTACCTGCTGAGATAAAATCACATTTCTGCTAAAGAACTTACAAAAACTTCAGATGGCTGATGCCAGAAATGCCACAGGATCCAAAACCACATCAGGCCACCAATCAGCTCAGCCCTTATAACATTTGCCTTGGGCACATCAGTCAACTGTCTGTAGCGAGGTTCTGTGTGGCCTCCGGAACTGGAAGAGAGGGAACAATGCACATTAAAAAACAAGGTTCACGTGTACAACTCCATCCTCCAATGAGCAAAAGCACACTTACCTTTAAAGGAGAACTAAAACCCAAACTTTTTTTAGTGTTGGATTGAGTGGAGAAGTATTAGATTACCTGTCGGGTTCCTTTTGATATCTGTGTCCCTGTTAGGGACATTAACACCCCCCCCCCCCATTTGCCCTCTCAACACTCCAAATTGA